GTGTGTTCAGGCACGTTGGCAATGGTGTTCTCTTGGGCAGGAGCCAGGGCCGTAGGCAGTTGCTTGGATGTTTGAAGTCTTGTGGATTAACCCTTTGGGAGCTCTCCTTGAGTGGGCTGTACTGTSCCAAAAGCCAGTCCTTATCCAGTCCCTAAGCACAGTGGAGGGCAGGGGCTGGGACTGAGGCCATTTCTCTGAACTTTCTGTTCTGTTTGAGGTCTCCAGCAGTCAGGGCTGCTGGGAAGCCTATCTGTCCCACACTTGGCTCAGAGCAGCCACAGGGCCTGTTCTGCCTGTGCCAGGAGAAGAGAGGGCAGGAGGGAAACCCTCACAGGGCCTCCCCAGGTCATGGCCCTGACCAGTGGATACACAAAGGCTTTGGGGGGCTGCTTGGAGCCCAGTGTTCCCCACTGAAGCTCCTCTGCTGCACCCATCTCCCTCCAGCCCTTCCCAGTGCGCTGATGTTGGGTGGGGGTTCCCCTTCCCTATGTGGTTGTTGATCCAACTGCTCTCCCAGTGCCTCCTGTTCCAGGGGGCTGTGCTGCCCTGAGCCCCTGAAAATGGTCCTGAGAGCAGGAGCTGAGACTGCTCCAGAGCTGGTGGGCTCAGTGCCCTGTTTCCCTGTAGGAGGAGAAGGTTTATGTCCAGCACCGCATCCGGGAGAACAGCAGGCTGGTGTGGGAGCTGCTGAGCACTGGGAATGCTCATGTCTACCTGGCTGGGTGAGTGAGAGGTCTTTGTGCAGGGCTTGCAGGAGCAGGGCTGCACATTTCTGCTTCTGCAGCTGCCTGGAGGCTCAGCCCCCTGCTGCAGAGGGACAGCTTGTTCCTGCTCTGTGTGTCCTGCTCCAGGAGCCCTGGGCTCAGGGGGCCCTTTGTCACCTACCCCATGCTCCCATTAGGAGGGGCACAGCTGGAACTGGTAAAGTTGCTCCAGCCTGTGCCATGTGCCCACCCCTCCCCCTGCCTGGCCTCTGACCCGCAGCACATCCACACAAGAGAGCCCTGGCCCCTGCACAGCCCTCTCCTCGTGCAGTGCTTGATGAAACTGGAGAAAAGGCTTTTGTGGTGCCTGTGGCCACTTGTGTGGGCAGGATCCCTACTGGTGCTGGGGCTCACGAGCAGCTTTGGGGGCCTTGGCACATTCTGTCTGACTCTTTGCACCCAAAACTGCCTCCCGGGGCAGGGATGAGCCCTGTTGCACCCCAGCCAGCCTCATTTGACAGTGCAGTCCCTGTCCAGGTGCTTGCCTCAGGCTGGTTGGACACTGGAGCTGCTGGCCATCTGGCCAGTGGGGTCTGGCCTTTGGAGGCAGAGCATCAGCAGTTCTGCCCTGAGCTCTGTGCCTATGTCCTGAGCAGAGCCCTTGACCTGCCTGTCCTTTTCACTGGCTGCACTACCCAGGACGAGGCTTGGGAAATGCTCTGGAGCTGCTGGGAGCCTGGCCATGGTATTTGTTGTGCACCCCATGACCCGGGGAGTGCAGGCAGTGGAATTGCAGGAGGTTCTTTGCTGCCTGTCTCTCACGAGAGCGGGACCTCCCCCGGCACCTCACTGGGTGAGACTGGCCTCGCTGCATTCCTGGGAGAAGGAGATCTGTGTTTACTTCCCAGGAAGTGCAGGCCAGGCCACCCCACTCCATCCTTCACTGCTGCATCACAGGGCTTCCGGGAGCCTCACCCCAAACCGGGCATTCCTCCCTTTGGATCTGGGGGTTGCAGCACTTGGGACTTGGGGTTATATCTCCATCCACAGCCCAAATGCTGAGACTATTGAGCTGTTGGGTCATGGCTTTATTCTGTCCTTCTTCCATTCTCTTTCCTACTTTTTGGTGCTGATGGAGATCCCCAGAGAGGACCAGTGTCTTGGAAAGAGCACGGCTTGCACAGCTGTCCCCATGGCAGATTTTATGTGGCCATGAGAATGGTATTTTGGACATTGGGGTTGCTCCGAGACCCATCCCATTGGGGGCTTTATTCCTGGCATGGGGTGTCCTTGAGCCCCCATCAGGCAGGTGGGATCTGACAGCCCCATTGTCCCTGTACAAGTGACTTTATCCTGATTGCAGAGGACCCTGTCCCTCCTTTCCTGAATAGCCCAAACCCTGTGGAAAGACTCCCAGGATGACCATGCCCCTCCCTGGCACACAAACTGAACAGTCAGTGGGGTGCCCGGCAGGAAAGTGCAGGTGGGTGAGCCTGAAAATGGTCCTGTTTTCCCCCCAAAAACAGCCAGACTGGGAGAAAGCCGGGGGAAGTGAGTCCTGCGCTGTTTGACCCTGAGCAGCAGCCCTGGGCCAGGGGATTACTTGTGCCTGCCTCCCCTCCCTGGGCCTGGTGGACTCTGGGGAGCCAGGACTGGATCTGCTCTATCATTGTTCCTAGCTTGTCTCACATTGTCTCACACAAGGGCAAAAAGGTTGAAAATGTCTCCTTTTTTCTGAAAAAAATAGCTATTTGACATGTTTTCCATCACAAAGCCCAGCTCCATTATCTTGTACTTGCATATCAGTGCCTGACTCAGAAACAATTCGACTCTTCCAAAAAAAGAAGACCTCCTTTCTGGGTATTTTGGGATGTTAATCAGCTTCAAACGCAAGTCAGAATTCTGCCTTGTTCTTGGGAAACAGCAAGGACGTTGCCAGATGCTYGTGCCAATTGGAGCAGCCTGGGAAATTTTTTATTAGATGTTTTTTTTGTCGCACAGGCAGTTCATCAAATGAAACTCTCCAGGAAAAAAAAGTCTGAATTTCTGATTTCCCCTAAGAAATAATTGTGCTTGAAAGCACTGAGTTCTATTTGGGTATTTTCTACACTATGGCTCGATGTTTTCTCCAACATTTCTCTGATTTTGAGGTTTGAACTGGCTTTGATTCCACATGTCACCATCAAACCAATCATTCTGGATTTCTTGAAAGCAGGCAGCAGCAGGACAGGAGCAATCACTGCTGCCCAGCTGAGGATCAGACATGTTTGACATTGAGTGATTCCAGAGATGAAAGGACAGGTTGCTGCTCTCCTGCTGACCAATTCCAACCYGTGCATATTGCCCGTGTCTCTAATGAGGATGCTGGCAAATGGACCTGTGTGGGGCTGGAGTCTGGGGTCCTGAGCTGTGATGCTCCTTCCCTGGGGTGGGGGTCCCATGGCTGCATCTTTGCCCATGCTGGGGAGCCCTGTGGGTAATGGCCCCTCAAGCCTGTCCTTTACCCTGTRCCAGGGACGAGGCAGGGTCCCACTGCCCTGTGGTGGGCTTAGCTCTGGGACTGCTGATTCCTGATCCAGGAGCACTGGGGCTGCTGCTCTGCCCCTTTTTGCTGCCTGCACTCCATTGTGTCCTGCTCTCTCCCTCAGGAATGCCAAGGACATGCCAGCAGCGGTGGCAGAGGCCCTGCAGTCAGTGCTGCAGCTGGAGGGTGGCCTGTCCCCATCRGAAGCAGAGGAGCATTTAACAGCCCTGGAAAGGTCCCAGCGCTTCCAGTCTGAAACGTGGTCATGAGCCTGGCTTCCTGCCTCCCCTTCCCCACAAACTGCTGGAATAAAGGAGCTGCCAAAGCCATCTGCCTCTGGCATCTTTCTTGGGCTGGGATTGCCCCAGCCAGGAGCGGTGGATTTACCCCTGACGGCTGCAGGGCCTCGGTGGTGGAGCGGACCCCATCTGGGGGGTTTGGCTCCCTGTGCCCATACCCCACCAGAGCAGGGGCCAGAGGGCTCTTAGGGGTGCTGCTGGTTGGCTTTGGCTCGGGTCTGATCTGCCCCCTATGTGCCCCAGCCCCGGGGGTCCCTGTGGGGTGGGTGGCACCCAAGGACATTGCTGGAGCTGTGGCAGTGGCACTGGCTGCTGTTTGTGGCAGGCCCAGAGGAAGGAAAGYGTTGCATGGCAGTCTCTCCACCCTGACATTACTCAGCAGCACCTACGGCAGGAGGAGCTGCCTGACCAGACCTGTTCCCCCTGTCTTCAGTGGCTAAGGCCAGCAGGGACAGGTGCGGGAGGAAGCCTCAGTGCCTCTGCTGCCAGTTCATCATCCTGAGCCTGCTTAATGCTGAGCTCTGAGTTCTGCATTCCTGCTGAGTTATCCCCTTCCCCGAGTGCCAGCTCAGCTGCATCTCCCCACCCCACCCTGGACCTGCTTCCAGCCCTTTCCCTGCAGCCTCGAGGCTGTGCCCCTCCTGGCCCTAGTGCCCCACTGGAACTAGTGCCACCACCTTCCTCCCCCAGTTCAGCAGACTGGGTGCCACTGCGTAAATAGCAATTATGACCAGGGCATGAATCAGCAGGGACATTCCCTGGGAGCAGGCTGGGACAGGAAAGGACAGYGGTGCCACGCCATGCCTGTGACCCAGCCACTCTCCCACGCATCGAGTCATGGAGTCCTTGCAGGGATGAGCAATGCCTGGGGCATTACTGGAACTGTGACACTGTAGTGAGGGGGAACAGGGTGATTTGGGGACTTCCCACCCCACTGCTTTGCTTTGAACAGCTCCTGCACTTGCAGACCCAGCACTGGCTGGGCTGAGTGTCCTCGCATGCCAGGGACAGCCTGGGGCCAGCATGAGCTGCTGTCATCACTCTGGTGCCACTGTCCTCATCTGGGGCACTGTCCAGGCAGGGAACTTCCTTCCAAGCACTGCAAAATGCTTGTGGGACATGGCAAGGAGAGGTGGCCCAGCACAGGGGCCAACCTGGGGGACAGGGAGCTGGACTGGGGCAGCACAGGGCCTGTGCTGGGGGCTCTACTGGGGTCTGAGCTAGGGGCTGCACTGGAGGAGAGCAGGGCCTGTGTTAGGAGGCTTTCCTGGTGGAGCACAGGGCCCTGCTGCCATGGCCCAGGGACAGTGGTGTGGGCAGCACAGGGCCCTGCTGCCATCGCCACAGGGGTGACTCCACTCGTGCTGGGTGAGCAGAGGCGGCCATGGCCCAGCTCCTCCCCAGCTCTGGCGGGAGCTGATTGGCGCGGGCATGGCTGCCTGCCCCGGGCTCCCTGCATTTGAGCCGCTTCCAGAAGCTGACAAACCAGACTGGKTAGAGCCAGGCTCGGCCCCAGCCCTGCCTGGCCCACGGCAGGAGGCYGCTGCCTGTGCGGGTGCCTGCCACGCCTGCACCCTCCTGGCACAGCGGGCAGTGCACGGCAGCGCCCGGCTCGCTGCCCTCTCCTCCGGACCGTGGCGGATCAGTACTGCATCGGTGCTGGGGACGAGGAAGACGAAAAAGAGGAGGACGAGGAGGAAGAGGAGGAAGAGGCTCCTTGGTGCTGCCCCTCTTGCGGTGGCCTCTCGGTGAGGGTGATGGGGCTGCATCCGGCGTCAGAGGCTCCTGACCCGCTGGTCTGGGAGGGCGCCCCAAGCCTCACCGGAGGGATGTTGGGACTGTGTGCGGACACTGCCGCCTTCAAACCCTCCCGGCAGCTGTGCTGAAGGAGCCTCCTGCCCTGGAGCAGCACCCACGTCCCGCTGAGCGGGGTGGCTGCTCCGGCCGCCCTCATGGAGCCGGCGGCGGGCGAAGGGGCAGAGCCCGGCCCGCAGGAGGTGCAGGCAGCCGGCGGGGAAGGCTGTGCCGGGCAGCGGGACGAGAGCGAACCTGTGGGGTCGGGGGAGCCCGGGGAGCTGCCCCGTGTCTGCGGAGAGGCGTTCGCTGCCGCCTGGGGATGCTGGGACCTGCCAGCGGCAGAGGATGCCAGGGAGCCGCTCCTGCCCGGGCATGAGGAGCTGCCTGCCCACGGTGCCTCCCTGCCTGCGGGCCAGGACCCTCCCGCCACCGCCACCGCCACCGCCAGCCCCGTCCTGCCCCGCGGGGAGAGCCCAGCACCGCCAGGGACGTCGCCCAGCTCGGAAAGTGTCTCCAGCTCCATCCTGAGCCTCTTCGGCGAGATAGAGACGTCAAGCGATGAGGTGGTGGTGGTGGTGTCCGAGCCGTGCCCCGTGCTGGCGGGCAGCGAGGACGAGTGCCCCATCTGCACGGAGCCCTACGAYGAGCAGCGGCACAAACCGGCCGTGCTCAACTGCAACCACGGGCTGTGCCGCGCCTGCCTGCGCGCCATCATGGACACGGCCACGGGCGCCGAGCTGGGCCGGGTGCGCTGCCCCATCTGCCGCCAGAAGACGCCCATGCTGGAGTGGGAGATCTGCAAGCTGCAAGAGGAGCTGCTCCTGCTGCACTCCCAGCCCGGCTCCCCCGGCGCCCTGGCCGCCTCCCGGCCCCCTGCCTTGCCCCCGCGGCGCCCGGGCCTGGCTGGCGCCCTGGAGCATCGCTTCCAGGTGCGCTTCCACACCAGCCGCATGTTCGGCTGCCTGCCCTGCGTGCGCTACCCGCCCTGCCTGATCCGTGCCCTGGCGCGGCTGGAGCGCCGCTGCCGCTGCTGCTACCTCCTGCTGCTGGCGCTGCTGCTGGCGACAGAGATGCTCAGCCTGCTCCTCATCTTCCTCCCCATCGTCCTCATGGTGATGCTCTTCCTCATCCTCGACAAATAGCGCCGGGGTTGTGCCCTCAGGCTGAGCGTGCGTGGAGATGAGCCCAGCTCCGGCTCTGCCCTCGGCTGTGGTGCCAGCTGGGAGCGAGCTTGTGCCCCCGGTGCCTGGGATACCCGGCRCTGCCAGTGAACCCGGAGCGGGTGAGGCGGCCCAGGAGGAGCTGGAGCAGGCAGCTGAGGGAAKCGAGCCTGGAGCTGGGCATCACCTGCCCCTGTGGGCACCGTGTGACACATCACCGCCACAGCYAAGGGACCGATGGAGTGGGAGCCCTTCCTGCACTGGGGCACAGCCCTGGCCCAGGGGCTGGGAAGCAGAGAGGCTCTGCGGGCAGAGCAGGGCCGTGCCATGGGCTATGTGAYTGGCTGTACCATGGGCTGTGCCACCTGCACCCAAGACAGACAGGCTGGGATTCCCCAGCATGGACTGGAAATACAACCTGTGTTTGTACCATATCTGCGTCCAGTTAAATTCAGTGCTTGGTCCAGGCTGACCATGTCTCCTTGGGGTGGCAACACAAGGAGAGCATGGGCACAGCCAGTAGTCGCCAGGCACCCTGCAAGGGGTGCGTGCTCCAGCACGGCACCTCCCAGCCCTACCGAGCCGTGCCAGCCCGTGCTCAGGCCGTGCCCTTCGGGGAGATAAGTGAGCAAACACGGCTCTGTCCCTGCCACACACGGGTGGAGGAGTCTGCAGCGAGTGGCACTGGAGCTGTGCCCATATGGGACCTGCCCACAGCTACGGGGAGCAGGATTGTCCCAGGGGTGAGCAGGAGTATCCAGGGATCTGGGCTCTGACTCTGGCTGCTGGCCCTGTGTGGGGGGCCCTGTGCCAGCAAGGCCATGCCCAGGTCACAGTGTGGCTGCTCTGCACCCTTGTTCCTCAACACTCCTTGGGAATACCTGGACCCCAAGGAGATAAGGATGGGGATCCTTCCGGGCTTTCAGCCACCTTTGGGCTGGTGGTGGGTGGCAGTGAGTTATCAGACCCACGAGGTGCTCCCAGGATTCCATTTGGGGGTGCTGACCCCACCTCCCTCAGCCTGGGCTGTGCAGCAGCGTGTTTGTCACTGCTGGCCTCCTCTGGGTGTCCTGCCAAAGCTTTGTGCTGATCCCAGGCCAAAACCTCCCCCCGTGCTGTCACCCCTCTCTGTCCTCCTCAGGAGCTGGTGACACTGCCGTACCCTGTCCTCCTGCCTGGCTGTGCCAGGCTTGTGCAACCATCCCCATTTCCTGGCTCTGCCCTTCTGCCCCAGAAACACCCCATGGGCACCTCCCCAGGGCTGTGGGGGGACAGATCACAGGGTGCCAGCCCTCCACCCTCTTCCCCTTCTGCCTGCCCAGGAAGCCGGGTGGGTGGGCAGTGAGCAAGCACTGCTGTGCCCACAGAGCCCCACAGGAACCCTGTGTCCTTGTGCCCACGAGGGCAGAGATTTGGGCCGTGGACTTTGCCAGGGCACCGGTGCCACTCAGCATCAGCACTGCCATGGGCTGCTCTGGCAAAGTTCTGAGGCACAGGATAGGAGCAGGGCACCCCAAACAGGCCAGATCAGCAGGCGGGAGCAGGTGGGGCCCCCCAGCCCCAGTGGCACCAAGGAATATTTATTTATACCAAGTGGAGCAGCTCCATCAGGAGAAGTGCCAGTTCAGCCCTGGTGGGGGCATTTTTGGCTCCATGGAGTCTGTGGGAGGCAGGGCTCAGACACCTGGGGGCCCTGTGACAGTGTGACAGTGTGACAGTGTGCCCATGTCCCTGCTCCACATTGCATGGGGGCATGGGGCTGTGGGGCAAGCCAGGCCTGTAGGGACACATGGAACACGAGGCACCCCTGGCAGTCCCATGCTCCCCATGCCAGCTCTGGGTGCTGAAAGCTGAAGAGCACCTGGGGAAGGGTCCCTGGGGGCTGCCGTGTGGGTTGGGCCCTGTGGGCRATGCAGAGCTGGCTGCAGTGTCCAYTCTCCAGGCTGGGTTGTATTGGGACTCTGAGACAGCGGTGAGCGGGGMTGGGGCTGACGGGGCTGGCAAAGGGCTCCTGCTGGGGCACAGCTTCCAGCATAGCCCCGAAAACCCACCCAGCCTCCCTGCCTGCAGCCCTCCCTGGCCCCTCTCCCAACCCCTGATGCCCCACTGCATCCCAAATGCTCCATCGCATCCCCCAGCTGCTGGCACCAGGGTGAGGTGATGTCCCCAGACTGGTGACTTGGCTGTCCCCATCCCTGCAGGGAGCTGCCCATTCTCTCCTGGCTTCTYTCATGGTAGCCGGGTGTGTCCCCCCTGGATGCTGCTCTGGCCAGAGGTGTCCCCAGTCCCAAAAACACCACAACCAGCAGCAGCACCTCCCTTTCTCTGCTCAGCCCCCACACTGGGGACATGTCCTCACCCCGTGCCCRTTGGGAGTGTGGCCAGAGGTCCAGCAGCTGTGGGGCCACACGATGAGGCACTGAAGCAACTCCTGAAGCCAGCCTTGGRCCCGGAGCTGGGCAGTGAGCAGGAGCAGGTGCCTGTGCCTGCGGGCAACCCTCTCCTGCATTTGACTCCAAGAAAGCTTCTGAGCTCAGCAGTCCCTCCCGGGCCGCGGGGCCAGCACTGCCCCGGGGACCTGTCACAGCCGCTCGGGTTCCGTGCCACCGCCCATTATCCTGTCACCGCGGGCATGTGCCGTTGTGAAAGCGGGTGCTGGCACATCACGAGCAGCTTCCTCTCCACTGAAACGGCCGTTTGGGGGGTGTGACCGCCCCACGGCGAGGTTTGAGGCTGCGTGTCCCCAAGGAGGGCATAGCCCTGGTGCTCAGCCACCTCCTTGCAGCCGGGCACGGCGCTAGTCCATGGCCCAGCACAGCCTCACCTGCACCGGGGTCGGCTCCTCCCACTGTTCACATCCGTGGGGAGCTGCTCCTGCTGTGCAGCCTCTGAAGCAGGATGAAGTGGTGGTGGGGCCATGCGTGTGGGGACCAGCCTGGGCACTACCACCATCCTCTGCAGGTGCAGAGCAGCCCCAGCCCTGAGCCACCGGCACCAGCCAGGCTGCAGGAGCTGCTTTTCACAGAATCACAGAGTGCAGTGTGTGGCAAAGAACCCACTGGGATCATCAAGTGCAGCTCCTGGTCCTGCAYGGACACCCTAGCAAGCCCACCCCGTGCATCCCTGAGAGGATTGTCCAAATGCTTCCTGAACTTTGGAGAGAATGTCTGAACATTCAATGCCCTGAGTCCATGCTGAGGGCTGAGCCCAAACCAGATCCYAGCCCTTCCCACCTAAAATGAGGACATTTGGGAAAAGGGTCATCCCCAAGAACAATTTAACTCCCTCTCCCATTGTGGGCCAGACTGGACACTGGGGGAGCCCAGAGCTTAATCCCAGCCTGGGACTGAGGTTACAACGAGGACATTTTACAACCTGTTCACCTGGGAGCATCTCTGCTGACATGAGGCCAAACCTGCYCCTGCAGCAATGTCCTGGCCATGCTTAAACAGCTGGTGGGACTTGGAGATCTTTAAAAACTCAGCATGGAGCTACTAAGCTCACAATGGTCAGGARAGTGTTTCAGGGGATGGTGAAAAAATTTTTATTCACCTGCATCTGTGACACAAGGGCTGGCACCACTCCATGTCCCTGTCCTCTCCAGCAAACCTGGCCCCTCTTCCAGCAAGTGCTYATTCGAGGTTAATAGGGCAGGAGAAATGGGCTCTCACCCAGCACTTGCTCCTGAAAGGCTCTATTTCTTCCTTAATTGCAACTCAAAATCAAATTAGCAGYTTTAAATTTACTCTGTGCCCAAGAGGTGCCACAAGGGCAGGGGAGAACATGTTGTACCCTTTGTCCTTATGTAATAAAAAGGATAAATTCCTRCTGAGGTCAAAATTGTTGCCCCCTCTTCCCTGGCTGACCCACTGCTTCAGTGTCTTTGGGGCCAGAGATGCTTGGTGTGGATTCCATTTGAGTTTTTGGGGTGCTGGAGTTATTTATACTGGATTTGGCAAGATCCTCTGGGGTGATGGAGATGCACATCCTGGATGTGGGGCTGCCACATCATTGGGCTCAGTGTGGTGTTGCTGTGACCACCAGGAGATCCCCACACTGTGCCAGGGCTGCAGGAAGGGAATGTGGATGGCAGTGTGGGTGCAGGGTGGGATGTTGGTAAGGATGGAGAGGCAGGATAAGGCTGCAGCATGCTCRGGGACAGAGGGTGGTACCAGCTGCACTATTGCTGCTGTAATTCAGCACCCATAATCTGTGGGGTGGTTTTGTTTTCCAGGCATAGAAACCCCCTGGGGTGGGAACCAGCACAAAGGGACAAGGAGTCTGCAGCCACCCTCGCACCCTCCTGGATGTGCTGGTGCTCTGGAAGTGGATGTTCCACTGTGGTCCATAGCAGATGGCAAAGGCAGTTGATGCTYCTGGAGAGGGCACATTTGGAGTCATGCCCACACCAGCCTGTGCCCACAATAGCCAGTGTGTCCAGCTCGCCCCGGGGGAGTTGCACTGTTCTACGTCATCATCCCAGCTGCTCCTGCTGCAGATTCCTGTCTCTCCCAGTGGAAGAGTGGCCATCCCGGTGACCACAGGATCCATTTGGGATAGGAAAGGGTGCCACTTGCTGGTGCTGCCAGGTGCCCACCAGCCCCAGGAAAGTCCCTGTGTGCAGTGGGGGCAGTGCAGAGAGGGGTCTGTTAGTGCAGCTGCCTCACTGGAGCAGCCCATGGGGAGCCCAGCACTGCCCATGTCCCTGCCCAGGTGCCACCTGGGCCCGATGGCACATCCTCCCCCCAGTATCCCACATCACTCAGGCACAAAGGGGACATCCAGCRGGTGTTTGAGGGCTCTTGGTGTGGCTGGGTCCACTTGCTGAGGTGGGCAATGTCCCCCAAGGTGCCCAGCCATGTGCAGTGGGACCAGGGYCTGGGTCAGGAGGGGACACAACTGCAGCAGAGCTGAAAGCCAGGTCAGAGAAGGTGTTAGGGGGAAAGCCCTAACCTGGGTATGTCCTGCCCCACAGATGGGACATGGAAAGCACCCCAGTGTGTCACCCCACTCCTGCCCACAGTGACACACCCCCAGACTCCGGCTGGGTCTTCGTTCCAATATAATCTTTATTGGGGAGACGGATGGGGGTCAGAACAAGGCCGGGTATAAAACATGATCATGGTCACAACCAGCAGCAGGAGGCATTGGCAGAGCAACACAGAGACGGTACCGGCCCTGTCCTCCACGGGGGGAGAACGGTCCTGGGGCTGTGCCAGGGGCATCGCCCACTCCCTTGGGACAGGATGGGGCGTGGACTGGCCCCTCTCCCCAGATGGATGCTGGGCTTTGGCCAGTGCCAGGAGCTGCTGTTTCTGGGTTCTGGGACCCTCAGGCTCACCCAGTCCTGGTGCCCTGGGAATGGGTGGTGTGTGCCCCTGGCATGGTGGCCATGCTGGGTTGTGGTGCTCAGCCCCATGGGAGCACCTGCAAATTATGGCTTTTCTTTTTTTTTTTTTTTTTTTGGCAGCAAACTTACCCCTCCAGGTGCTCTGGAGAAAGCAAGACTGTGCACAGGAGGCTGCTGCCCTGCCACCCCCTCTGCACAGGGGTCACAGCAGAGATGCTGCTCTGGGGAAGGGACTGTGGGCACCTTGGTCCCCCTGCCCTGTCAAATCCTCTTGCTGGAGCCAGCAATTTGGGGTCCTGGACCCCATGCCACCCCCTGAGCCATCCCATGGGGCATTGGTGTGGGTCCCGGGTGGAGGGGCAGAGAACGGGCACATCTCAATGCCTTTGTGAACACGTAGTGGCCTGGGATGGGGCGGCCGGGGACGGATGGGGAAAAAATGAGAATCCTCCAAAACGAGGACAAAGTGGAGCTTTCCTCAAGGGCCTGCAGAGGACACGGGCCGCATGTCTGCTGGCATCCGAGGGGCCGGYGCGGCAGCTTGGTGTGGCTACTGAGACTCGGGCGCATGGCAGCATGGCCACTGAGATGAAAGCTTTGGCAAATAATTTACAGAGATGGGGTGGGGGGGCAGCGGGGGGACCTGTCCTCGCTTCCTGTGCTGGGAGGGTGGCCCAGTGTGACACCGTGCACCTCCAGGGCTCCTTGTCCTGCTGCTGCCTGCTGTGGGGCAATGGGCAGGGTGTCATTCCAGCCAGGACCCAGTGTCTGCTCTCAGRAGAGCTGGGGAGAGAGGAGGGAGAGGCGCCCAGGGAAGGAGCTCGATGCATCACCGCAGGGCCGAGGAAGCTGGACACCCTGGATGCGCTGGTAGATGTGCTCCCCGTTGCAGCATCCCTCTCCCCAGGAACCACCGCTGTGTAGGGGGCTGCCAGGTCCCAGCACCCCCACTGCCCGCCGAGTGCTGGCAAGGACACCAGTCCCACATCCTTGGCCRTGCTGAGTGTCAGAGCATTCCCTGGCTGTGCCAGCAGCAGAGAGGGGACAGGGGCTGGCCATGGTGCTGTGCTGGCTGTCCCACCGCTGTGCCCCGCTGCCGGAGGCGTGGGCAGGGCGCGGGGCTCACATGATGGTGCAGGAGGACAGCGGGTTCCGGATGTGGCAGGTGCAGGCGGCCCCGCAGTACTGGCGAAAGGTCTGGTAGCAGCTGCGGTCGGTGTCGCTGCTCCACTGGACGGGGTTGGCAGCCAGCGCCTCGGCCGGCAGTCTGTTCAGGATACTGGTGTTGACGGCCAGCGCCGCGAGCCCATAGTCGGTGAAGAGGACYGTCTCCCGCTTGCAGGTGGGGCAGGAGATGAACTTGTACTTGGGGCAGGACTCGTAGAGGATCTGCAGACACTCCTCGCACACCGAGTGCAGGCAGGAGAGGATGCGGGGCCGCTTGTTGGTGAAGTTGTACATGTGGCCGCAGGTGGGGCACTCCAGGGGCTCGCAGGGCGTCGAGGGGTGCAGCACGTAYTGGTTGACGATCACCTCATCGGACGGTGGCTGCCGGTGGTAGCAGATCTCAGAGCTGCCCTTGCGCTGGCCCTGGTACCCGCGCTCGCGCCGCGGCAGCGGGGGAGTCCGGGGCAGCGGCAGGGGCCCGGGGGTGGCATCCAAGGCAGGGATGTCCCCGCACGCCTGGTTGACGATGATCTCGGACTCGGAGGGCCACGCGCGCTTGGCCACGAGGGGCGGCTCGCGGCGCGGGGCGGGCGCGTAACGCGGCTGCGATGCCTGCAGCTCCGAGAACTTCTCTGGGTGGATGATTTTCATCGCCTCCATTTTAATGATGACCTGTTGCCCTTTCAGACACGACATGAGTATCGTTTTCACATTACTGTCCACTGCTCTGGGGTCTGCGAGGGACGCCTGCATGAGGCTAAAACATGCTGGCAGCCTGCTGAGCTTTCAACCTCGGTCTGGCCGCGGAGCAGGAGCACAGGCAGCAGCCACTGGTGCGGGAGAGCATCCTGGGGAGACGGGGCAGCGCCAGCGGGCCCCACGCYCCTCTTCTGCAGCCAGCCCCGAGAGTGCCAGGCACGAGGCTGGGGCAGGCAGGAGAAGGCAGGACTCACAGTGGCATCCTGCCTGCCTTTGAGATGCTCTTGGGCAGGTGATCAAAGCGCCGGCTCCTCACAGCCTCACTGGGATGTTAACGTGACACTGGCAGTCACTCAGCAGCCCTGCTCTTCGCCTTTGCTGCCACTTCCCACACCGGATCAGCCACAGTCGGGAGCAGTAGTCTGGGGACAGTGGCACTGGACACTGCCCAGGGCAGGTGAGTCCAGGGAGGGTCTTCCAGAACTGGAGGCAGCCCTCACTTCACCCCAGCCCAGCCTCTGTTCCTGTTTACATGCAGTGGGATCCTCGTGGCGCTGAAGAATGTGTTTGCAAATTCCTTTGCTCTGACTTCCCGGCTCTCCCACTTGCCGTCACCAGCAGCTCCCACAGGGCAGGGGCTCAGGGCACATCCCGTGCCGGAGGGCAGCTCACCTTGGCTGCGGCCAGGCCACCACACACCTTGTCACCTCGGTCCCTGGTACCTCTGTCCCCAGCTCAGCTTCACGCTTGCTGGAAATGAAAAGTGAGAGGGGTTTGGATCCAAGGCTCTTCRGGGATCTACCGGCTGCCAGCGCTCCCTCGGGATGCGTGCCCGCCTGCATCCCGGCAATTTGGCAATTGAGCCCTGCAGCTCCTGTCCATCCRCCTGCGTGCCTGGGCTGTGGAAGTGGCAGCAGGCAGGTATTTCCCCCCAGGCATCCCCTGGGTGGCCCCGAGGGTGGGGTCCCGGGACCCCCCTGCCCTGAGGGTGGGGGACAGGTCCCCCAAGCGCCCCACTGGGCTGCAGGGCCCCTCATGAAGGGGCTTCTCCGCCGACCTGCCTCTGCTCAGGGTTTTCTCTCACGTTTAGCCCCTCCTCTGCTCAGTGGATCTATTTTTACCTCCCTCGCTTACTCCTAATCTGTCCCTGCTATTATCCCTCCCTCCAGCTTCCTCTCCCCCCCTTCTCATCTCCCTGCCCTTGTCCCGAGGCTGCTGGAGAGGACAGTGCACGTTTAGAGGCAGGAGATGGGGGGCAGGCAACCAGCCCGTGGCCATTCTCTCCCTCAGCAGCCCCTACGCCAGCCCGACTCTTCCRAGAAGGGCGAAGGCACTCTCCTCCATCACGCTACAAATCCTGTTAGAGGGATGCCTGCTCCTGCCGGGTGCTGCCAGGYCTGGCGGAGGGGGCCGAGGGGGCCATCTGGTTGCAGCAGCAGCCTTTGGGGATGAAGAGAGGCCRTGGGGGTTCAGCCCCGGCTGCCTGAGAGCTGGGAAGAGGGGGGCTGAATCCCTGCCCAGCCCCAGTCGGGGACCATGCCCTGGTAGCACTGGGGTCCTGCAAGCACYCTGCCCCGGGGAGGGAGACCTGGCCTCATTCGTTCCCCATCACAGGCCTACATCCTACACCCCACATCCTGCACCCCACACCCCACAAGCAGCGTATATCACCCCTCCGCCCCCCCCGCACACAGCAGCAGCCTCGGGGGTTCTGCCTGCAGCTCTCACACAGACACTCACCCGCAGCACCCWCGAGCACAGCGATCCGGGTGGTCAGTAGTGCCACGCACTGTCACCGCGTTCCCACGCTCATTCTGTCACACCCCTTCACGCACAGCCCTGGCGCAGCACCCCGCACCCCCGCCGCCCCTGGGGCGAACACAGTCCCTCGCCATTCTCATCACTTTTGGGATGACACAGCCCCTGCCGTACCTCACAGCCCCATCACTTGTGAGGTGACACAGCCCCCGCCGTACCGCACAGCCACAGCCCCCGCCGTACCGCACAGCCACAGCCCCCGCCGTACCGCACAGCCCCATCGCTTCTGGGGTGACACAGCCCCCACCGTACCCCACAGCCCCATCGCTTCTGGGGTGACACAGTTCTCCCCAGCACCCTCCCGACACGCAGCACCCCCCTCTCCCCCACCTCTCCCCGCAATCCGCAGCCTCACACGCCCCTGCCCCACGCTCGCAGCCCCACGGAGCACACGCCTGTGCACACACAAGTGCTCCCCGCACACACACACGTGCAGTCCCGCACAGCCGCAGGGTGACCCCCCCTCCCCCGGTCGCTGCCCGCCGTTACCTGCGCTGGCCCTGGGCACGGGGTCCCGGTTCAGCCGCCAGACCCCGCTCGGTGCCCGGTGCGAGTCCGCAGGCCCGAGCGGCGGAGGTTATCTGAAAGGCAGAGGGATGCGGCTCTGCCCCGGCCAGGCGCGGCTCCCCGGGGATGCTGGCGGCGCCGAGGCGCGGCTCCGCGGGGATGGTCCTGAGCGGCCGGGCCGCCCCCGGCCCCTCTCCCCCCGGCCCCACCGCCTGCTCCGGTCGCGGCCGCGGCGGCGCGGGGAGGGGACCGGGCAGAGAGGCCGGGGCTGGCGGCGCCGGGCTGCTCCGGATGCTCGGCGGGTACCGGCGGYCGGGGGAGCCGGCAGGTATCGCCGTCGCCTCTCCGGGGGGCTCCTTCGTGCTCTCCCCCGGCTCCCCCCGCCGCCCCCGGCCGTGAACCCCGGCTCGGCGCGGGGCTGATGCAACACCCCGGGCCGGCAGGGCAGGCTGCGGGGGGCTGCTGCCGGGCCCCGCTGTGTCCCTCGGCAGGTGCAGGCAGCGGCGGGCAGCAGCGGGCAGGCAGCGGCGGCTCCGTGCCCGCCGTTCGCGGGGCCCGGCGGCGCGGGCGCTGCTGCGCGCTCCCGCCGCCGCCCGCAGTGCCGCCGCAGTGGTGCAGCCGCCTCACATTTCTCTCGCTCAGCAGCGCCGGGGCCCGCCGGCCGCAGCGCCTGACGCCCCGCACACCCCCTCCCCCCCCCGCCCCCCCCCGCACGCCCCCTCCCCGCCCCGTACCCCCGTTGCCCCGCGCCCTCCCCTTCCCGCACCTCTTCATCCGCCCCTCACACCCCTCTCCCCGCACATTTCTCCTTGCCCCGACCATCTCCTCTTGTCCCACACGTCCCCCTTCTCCGCCCCAGAGCCCCTCTTGCCCCACATCCCCTCTCCCCGTAGTCACCCCCGAACCCTCCCTGCGGCCCCGCTCCTTCTCCCGTCGCCGGCCGGGCCCCGCGGATCGTTCCGCGGGCCCGCGGTGACTCAGCATCCAGCGCGGCTGCAAGCGGCTCCGCGGCTCCGGTGCCTCTTCGGGGTCGCGCTTGTGGGGCAGCATCGGGGAGCGGGGTCCTGCCAGCAGCCCCCGCAGCCCCCGGGTTAGGGAGAGGTCGGACAGCCAGGAATACCCCCACCACTGCTTTTTCCCACCGCCAGATCAGATCAGCCATACACCCCATTGTGTTCCCTGGGATCCATGGCCGCCAGCTATCCGGGGAACAGAGGGGCTCCCCTGACATCCCCCCAGTCCCTGCTTCAGCTCCAGGGCAGCTGGGCACAGGAGCTCACTGGTCCCYGGGGACATGGTGGGCTCAGCATGGTGGGTGGGGGGTCACACCACTGCTGGATCTCAGCAATGCTGCCAGGTCCCTGCAGAGCACTGGGGACCATCATTCATTGCCATGAGCTTGCAGACCCCCATTGATGTCAGGCAGACAGGACCCCAGGGGCTGGGGACACYGCACAAGGTGCCCTGGGCAGGTGGCTCCTGGTCTGTGCTTCCAGGCTCCTGCAGATGTGAGAGGCATTGATGTTCCCTGGCAGATGATAGAGGCCAGTCTGCCTTCTCCCCCTGCTCTGGGTGGTTYCTGAAGAGGGACCCCACAGGCAAATGGCCAAAATGAGCAGGCACCCCACAGAGACCCCTCCGGCTCCCGTGCCCCTACCCCAGCAATAGTGTCCCAGGCATGTGCACACTCAAGTCCAAACCCACTCCACCACTCCATCCCACCCTGGCTGGGGCAGGATGATGCTGGGAGCTCACCAGGCTCCTTTGTGTGCTGCTGGGGTTTCCCTGCTTGTGCCACCCACTGCCATTTTTTAGGTTTTTATATTTCTCCAGGATTTTGCCTGGACTTTTATGTCCTCCCCTGAAGGTTACCCTATCCACACCTGCTTGCTGACCCTCCAGCCCTGCTGCAGCAAAGATCCAGCCCCTGTAATAAGGGGTCTGCGTGGTCCTGGAGCTGTGGCATGTCCACACAGCCACAGTGTGCTCATGCTATTGCTGTTCTCTGGCCCCTCTATCAGTGGGACAGACACAGGAGCTGGAGTTCACCTATTTCACAGCTCTGCCAGGCCTCATGCAGCCCACAGATGATCCTCTCAGCCACACTTCAGGCAGTGGTRCAAAAAATCTCACCCAGGTGCATCCTTCCTGACCTGGAAGAGATGACCAAAGCCATCTAGGCAGAAGGATGCCCTGGTACCCCAAGGGTTCAGTKATGCTCCATTCCTGGGCCAGACTGACCCTGAAGTGTGGTTCTCCCAGGGGATCRTGCAGCATCACCTCCATCTGGAAATCCGTGCTCCCTTCTTGACAATGGCTGAGTTTCTAATCTTCACATTTCTCTCAGCAGATAAGGGATTCTTAAACRCCTTTTCCTATAGTCCTCTAAGTGCCATTCTTTGATCTGCTCACCTGCCCCAATCAGTGTGAGGCTGCTGCTGCCTGGCACTCTAACACCACTAAACAGGGATTCCCTTAATCTTCCCCATCCTCCCTGTCAGCTCTGCCTGCCTTCGCTGCTAACGTGCCTGGGTGCAGATAGCAAGAGCCAATATATTACGCTTGAGCTCACTGAGCAGAGGAAATTGCAGGAAGTGAGCGAGCACGAGCTATTTTCTGTTATTAATTCATATGGCATCCCCATGCTGACCCAGCTACACRGTATTATTAAGCTGCTATTCCATGAGTTAAGCAACAGTTTTATTTAAAAATAATCATAAATTACGTTGGACATCTTTTCTGCTGAATAAGAGTGTTTGTGCCCAGGAGCTGGGATCTTCCCCTTGCCCCAATGACTCTGCCTCTGCTTTGCATGCTCAATGCAGAGCTTTCTCTTTTCTCTGCTGAGCTGATCCACCAAGATCAGCTGGATCTGGATCTGCTTTCCACCCGAACTAAAAATAATCTTGTCCTTCAAAACTACATCTCTGTCTGGGCTTGCATGGCTCAGACTTGAGTGATGTCTCTACCAAACCTCAGCCCCTGTGGCCACCCCTAATCTATGGGTCTTGTCTCTTATTCTGGGTTTAACACCTAACTTGGGCATATAAACATACATGTTGCATTATTTTTTATAAAAACTAATTGTGTTGAGTGTTATCACAAATGTAGGTATTTTGGCTGCATGTGGGTATCCCCATAATGCCTTCTGAGCCGTGCTGATGTGATATGGGTGTTCTCCTGGATTTTTCAAGGAGCACTGATGTACTTTACAGTTTTCAGAGACCTTKTCAGCAGACCAAGCACACCTTTGAGGTTGCTCCTCAGCCCTATTGTAGCTTCTGTCCTTGGGTTCTGCTCTGAGCTCTCCTTGCATAGACATGCARGAGCAGCCTTGGCAGTGGATTCCCTTCATTGAACCCAGATGAACAAGGTTTTGCTGTTTATAATCAGGAGGTTATTGCTGTAATTCACCTGGTGTYGGTCTGTGTGCAACCACAGCTTTTTCCTGCAAAGTTCCTTCTTTTCCAGTGTCTTGCATGGATCGGTTCTAAGCCTTTGCTCTGCGGGGTTGTCGGGAGCTGTAACACTGCTGGCCAGGCTTTGCTGAGATGAACACTGAAGCCACAAGATAACTTGGCCCTAAATTTCTTCCTCACCATCAGCCATTGCCTGCTCAGCCATCCAGCTGCTTGCTCAGGATTTCATTGCCCTTCTGGGTTTCTAATATCCACAGGAAGGACCAGTTCTGAGAGGATGGCACTGCTCTAGCTTGGTGTCAGCCCTGTGCTGTGATGGCACCTGTGGCTTTTCTCTCCACCCCAGCCAAGTGAGCCRACAACTCCCCACAAGGTGTGCCAAACCTTCCCACCCTGCACCCCTGACCCTGTCCACGCTGTCCGTGCTCCTGGTGGCAGCACCTCAGTCCCCCTTTGCTTGCTCCGTGCTGCTCTCATTATGAGTGCGCTGGTCCAGGTCCTCTGCGCATCCACAGCTCTTCCCCAAATCCCATCTGTTTCTCACTCTGATCTTGTTTTGCACTGGTGAATCACTCATCACACAGATAATTCACCCACAAAAACATGAGCTCATCCCCAGCTTTCCCAAGAGCAGCTTTATCTGCAGGTCTGTATGGGGCAGCCCCGGCTCCAGGACCGGCCCGGCTGCTCGGGGCCACGGGGACAGCCCCGGCCTGGATGGGACACATGGATATGGTCCCCATGCCCTGTGCTTTCATCCTCTGTGCCCCATCCCTTCGGGACTGTCTCCAGGGTAGAGCACCCACAGAAGGCACCCCAAGTGCTGGGACCCTGCAGACCTGGCTGGGGTGGCCACCACAGCCCAGCACAGGCTCCAATAGGAAAGGAAAACAGGGCAGCTCTCATCACCACAATGCTCCTCCCAAACCAGCAGAGGAGCTGTCTGTGCAGCTTGCCCAGGCAGAGCAAACACCATTTTGAAGGAAGGATGCTATTGAAATATCTGCCAAGAAAGCAGCAGAGYGTCTTGTTGCCAGCTGGTATCTGAAGGATGCCCCAGCTGCTGCAGAGCTGCTCCCTGGCCACTGTTTGATGCAGTGTAGGGGCTGCTGGTGGTCAGGACCTGGCTGACCACTGAGAATCTTGCAGTACAATCCTGATGCCCTGCTGGGGTTTTTTGTGGGGTGGTTTCTAGGCTTGCAGCTGTCTACAGAGACTCCACCGAGAGAAAAGGGATGCTCAGAAGATCCCCAAAGTGTCTGAAGCCACACACAAACCTTGAGATGCACACATGATGCTCTGGTCAGCTCAAAGGTTRTGGATGTTCCTAAAGGCCCAACAAATTCCAAGGGGTTTAATCATTATTTTTACTATTAGTTATTAATACTGTGGCCATTTTTTGTGAGCCCTGGGTGTGAGGAGGGGGCTCGCCTTGCTGGTGCTGCATTGAGCAGCAGGGCAGGAGGGAAGAGGAGGAGGAGGAGGAGGGATGTGGATTGGTGGGAGGTCAAGGGCCAAGTCCAGAGGGACCATGTCCTCTCTCCTCAGATGTGGTGACCTTAATTCCCCTCCCCAGCAGCTCCCTGCCTGCAGACCTGGGCTTGCTCAGCTGCCAGAAAAGAACACTCATGGAAGATGTATTGCTCTCCAGTTATCTCCTGAGAGGAGTGAAAGAGGATGGRGATCCACAGCCCCAAGCTAGGACAGGGGGAATTCCAAATGAATTCACCTATAGCTACATAGGGAAAAGCTTCTTGTCTTTGAGGGTCAAACAGGGCACAGGGCACAAACCAGGGCAGAGGGGTGGTGGGATCTCATTCAAAGCTGCCCTGCATGAGGTCTGGAGCAACACACGGGCCACGCTCTGAGCCACAGTGGGGCAAGTGGGGTCCCCTGCCCCCATCAGAGCCCCCTTCTTCACCTGAGGCTGTATCAGCTCCAGGTACACAGCATCCATCACACGGATTCCCCAGGGAAGGGGGATTTCACATCTGCTTGGTGACCCCACAGCAGCACAGCTGTGTCAGAAACACCCTTGCAGTCCTAAAGTGCTACTGGGGAATGAGGGAGACATCTGAAGTTCCCCAGGGACTGCTGGTGCAGGCAGGGGGCAACCACAAAGCCCTAGAGCTGCATTTCAGGGGTGACAAGGTGCA